AACGCCGCGTTCATCCGAACGCTGCTCACCCACTACGATCAGGGCGGCGTCCTGCCGAAGTGGGAACTGGCGGGCAACTACACCGGCACGATGATCGGCTACCACGCCGTCCCGGTGATCGTCGACGCCTACGTGAAAGGGCGTCGCGACTTCGATGTCGAGAAGGCTTATCAGGCTGTCGTCGCTTCGGCGCACTACGACCGTGACGTGGCCCCGCAGGCGTCTGACGCGGTACGCACGGCGCTCGTCCCGGCCGCCAAGAGATTCAATGACGAGCTCGGCTTCATCCCCAGCGACCAAGAGAACGAGTCGGTCTCCCAGGCCCTCGAGTTCGCCTACAACGACTGGTGCATCGCCCAGTTCGCGACGGCGCTCGGCAAATCGGACGACGCCGAGAAGTACTTCGAGCGGGCTCGTCGCTACCGCCAGTACTTTGACACCGAGACCGGCTTCATGCGTGGAATCAGCACCAACCGCTCGTGGTCCACGCCCTTCAATCCGAGATTCTCCGAACACCGCCGCGACAACTACACCGAAGGCAACGCCTGGCAGTGGACTTGGTTCGCGCCGCACGACGTGCCGGGGCTGGTTGATCTCATGGGAGGTCCGACGCCGTTTATCAAGAAGCTCGACCAGCTCTTCACCGAAGACTCGACGATCGATGGCGCCAACAGCTCCGTCGATATCTCCGGACTCATCGGGCAGTACGCCCATGGCAACGAGCCGAGCCACCACATTGCCTACCTCTACAACTATGTCGGCCAGCCGTGGAAGACGCAGCGGCTGGTGGATCAGATCCTGACGACGCTCTACCACAACGACCCCGACGGGCTCTCCGGCAACGAAGACTGCGGCCAGATGTCGGCGTGGTACTTGCTCAATGCGATGGGCTTCTATCAAGTTTCACCGGGTGACCCGACTTACTCGATCGGCCGGCCCTTGTTCGATGAAGTCACGATCCAACAAGAGAATGGCAAGACCTTCACCCTCCGCGCCATCAACAATTCGCCGGAGAACCGTTACGTCCAATCGGTGAAGCTAAACGGCGACGGCCTATCCGCCCCGTTTTTCAGACACGCTGCGATCGTGGAAGGCGGCGTCCTGGAGCTCGAAATGGGACCCTGGCCAGAGAAACGGCATCTGGCGGCGAAGGCAGGCGCCGGCGCGACGGACGGGCCGTTGCGTGACGAAAAGCCGCAACTCGGAGGCAACGATTAGCCACCCGGCGTGAGATAAGCCACCGCCTCAGCCCCACGCGGACGCTTGCCCACCACCCCAAGAAAGTGACTATCATGTCAGCCAGCAGCGTGTCGCTGCGTCGCCTCGTCCTTCAGCTACTCATCAACGCCAGAGAACCGAGCCCCCGATGAACGACTCACGCCGGCAGTTCTTAAAGCAATCCGCCGCCGCGGCTTCTGTCGTCCCCTACTTCCTGAGCAGCCAGCCCGCCTTCGCGAATGCGTCGGCGAACGACCGCCCGCGGATGGCGTGCATCGGCGTCGGCAGCCAGGGCATGCACGACTCGGGTCAGCACGCCCGCTTCGCCGACATCGTGGCCGTATGTGACGTGGACGCCAACCACGCCGAACGCGCCCGGGTCGCCGAGAACATCGGTCGCGGCAAGGCGAAGGCGTACAGCGACTACCGCAAGGTGCTCGACCGCTCCGACGTCGATGTGGTGAGCATCGTCACGCCCGACCATTGGCACGTGAAGATCGCGATCGAGGCGCTCGAAGCCGGCAAGCACGTTTTCTGTCAAAAGCCGCTGACGCTGACGCTCGANNGCAGCAGCGAGCCGACTCACGTCGCTTCCTCCGCGCCGTCAACATGGTGCAGAAGGGGCTGCTCGGCGCCATCAAGAAGGTGACGATCGGCATCGATGGTTCTCCCACCGGCGGGCCGTTCCCCGTCGAAGAGGTCCCGAAGGAACTCGACTGGGAGATGTGGCTGGGCCAGGCGCCGCTGGTTGACTACCGCGCGCGGCGTTGCCACTACGAGTTTCGCTGGTGGTACGAGTACTCGGGCGGCAAGTTTACCGACTGGGGCGCGCACCATATCGACATCGCCAGCTGGGCCATCGGCCAAACGAGCGAAGGGCAGGGCCCCGTCGAGATCGATGGCTCGAGCGCGAAACACCCCGTCGAGTTCGTCGATGGCATGCCCGCCGTTGATGACCGTTACAACACGTCGCACGACTTCTCCGTGAAGTGTCGCTTTGAAAGCGGCATTGAATTCGACGTCACCAGCCGTGAGCGCAATGGCATCCTCTTCGAGGGCTCGCGCGGCCGGCTGTTCGTCAATCGGGAGAAGATCACGGGCGTTCCCGTCGAAGAAGACTGGGACGCCGGCATGTATGGACGCGAAGAACTCACCGAGTTGTACAAGGGCAAGCCCCACGAGGGACACTGGGAGAACTTCTACCGCACCCTGCGTGAAGGGGGCCTGCCTGTCTCCGACTTGTACTCGCACCTACAGGTTATGAACACCTGCCATCTGTGTGCGATCGCTTCGAGGCTGGGTCGCAAGATTACTTGGGACCCCAAGAGCGAGCGCATCGTGGGCGACGACACTGCCGCCGGCCTAGCATCGCGCGAGCAGCGAAAGGGCTACGAAGTCCCTCGGGTCTAAAGGCCGATCGCAGTCACGGCGTCATCAATCCTTACGAACCGTAGAACTCCCTGCGGTAACGCTCACCCTGCGCAATGGCTGTACATCACATGGGCACGTACATGATTCGTCTCGTAGCCTCCTCGATGTTCGCCGCCGCCCTTGTAGCGGAGTCAGCAGTTGCTCAGACGACGCCCGCTTTCAAGATGAGCGGCGCCGCGACGCGCGAAGAGATCCTAGACCATACACTCTCCGCTTACCGTGGGCGGAGCGCGCGTCGCGAGAATCCTCAACTGCTCGGCAGCGTGACGTGCGGTTATCAAGGATGGTTCACGTGCCCGGGCGATGGGTCGGATCGCGGCTGGCATCACTGGGGCAAGGGTGGGGATTTTATGCCGGGCGCCTGCACCATTGACCTCTGGCCGGACGTCAGCGAGCT